CCTTCCTGCCTTCCTTCCTCTCCTTTCTTTCCTTCCTCTCCTTTCCCTCTTCCTCCCTCCCTCCCTTCATCCTTCTTTCCATCTCTCATGTGACAGACCTCTTTTCCCTGTCATCTGCACAGCCAATATCAGATGACAACACTGAGATCCACCAATTCTTTTCTAATGCCCTGCTCAAAACTAGAGCCAGCACATGACATCAGTCATTCTGTCTCCCTCCTGTGCCCTTGCTTGCTTCTTCTATCTTGCTCCCACTCAAATGCAAATACATATGTCATTATTTGCCTTTCATGCATATTTCTATACAATAACAGTGGTATACAGTCTTTTCTTTTTACAGGAAGAATTCAGAACACTACCCTCATGAGAGATCATTTTCGGTATCTCTGAGAAAGGTATTTATAGGGACCTTGACTGAGGAATGAAAAAAATACTAAAGCAGATCAGGAGAAGTTATTTTCTTAATGATAAAATCTGAATTATACATTAAAGCACCATTTATTCAATCGGTTTTATTATTCTGTTTAAAAAGGCCGTCACTTTTATGTGTTTCATATGCTTACAAAGGTTTATTAGCTTGAGTAAAAGGTCATTATTATTCAATTGAATAATTTAATTTTAAATTATTGGTATTGCACTTTATATTATAACTGCTTTTGCAGATGCATTTGATTATGTCAAATCCGCCTTTTAATCCTCTGTCTGGAGATAATTTTCTTGAGTCATTCACTGTTTCTCACCCTCGCAGTGGTATCCTAAAGAACACACACAGGACAGCCTCATCTCTTCCATGTAAATTACTGTGCATACCTCTCCTGGTCAGATCATATCAGAGGCTATCCGGTGTCATATAATCCTGGATACTGACATATGGAAAATCTTTTCAGGTGATTAATGCCAAAGGCATCTAATTTTCCTGCAAAGCAATATTGCAGTGTTTACATGAATGCCAGACTTAGGGATATGAAATGGGCCTTTAGAAAAGTTAATAATATGGGCCTAATCCCCTCCAAGAATTATCTGTTGGTACTTCTAAAAATAATTGCAGCTTTATTCCTTGTCGCTAATGGAATCACATATTAATTTATTAGATTGATTGTTCATTAAAAACTTGGAATTTTGCATGGGTGAAATAAATACATGTAAAGCTACACATTAAAAATATCTTTTCATTTGAAACATATACTAAGTAACAAAAATTGAGAAATTATTTGTTTTATTACTTTGTTTTCTTAATGCTTGATCAAAAATGCCCTTCAAAATTGTTTCATGTTTGCTGGAAACATAAGATTTGTCCTTGACTATACACTTAGAGACTGCGATTTCTGGGCCTAACACCAAAATTCTCAATTAAGATAACAAATCATACACAAAACAATCCAAGACAATAAAATATCAGGGCAGGTAGACCCAGGGTGTTATATTCTGTGGGCACCGATTCCTTGTTGCCAGCATTCAATACCACACCAATAATGTCAGAGTGGCCAAAGGTGCTGTGTTTACTTGTACGTACCTGCGAATTACAAAATTGTCTGCTGTTATCAGGCTCCTCCTACCTCTGCTGAGGAGTTTTCCCCTCGGCCAGGCGTTGTACATTAACTTCACTCAAAGCAGGGTCAGTCTTTCACAGCCTTTCATAATTTTGAACAAATTACGTTTTAGAAATAAATCCATTCCTGATATTTGACATAGGAAGCACTTTGAAAATGGCTTTGAATACTCATAATTAGCTCAAGAATTACAGTCTCATTCCTCTCTTATACTGCCATTCCAAGCATTTGTCTCAACTGATTTCAACAGAGCTGCTTCTGTTTTACACTGGTGTGAGGGAACAAAAAACCCAAGTTGCATAAATTGTTAACAGCTCTTTCATACTGCCTCTTTATTACCAGATAAAACTTTGATGAAGGACATTCACAGAAGATCAATATGAGAAACCACATAAGACCTGACTTTTATGCTACTGGCTGATACTGAAAATCCCAGAAATAACTACTTGTTTTTGAAGCTCTTACTTAAGGTGATGACTGGGTTGATGCTGCTTTTCCTGAAAGAAATATTTCACCTTCAGGAGATGTACTGCCTCCCGAGTAAAGTTACTCCATAGCTCGGATTGCAGGGACATGGGAAAGGAAATGGAGAGCAGTTGTACATCCAGCAATGAGCAACTCCATCCTTTGTGTGTGAGAAGAAGCCACGGTCTTTTCTCTGCTTTGAGCAGATGCTGCTCCCAGCTGATGTGAAGCACTGCTGTCAGCATCCTAGGAGGCTCCATGTGAAGGGCTGCTTGTCTCACCAGGGGAAGTAGGAGCTCTGAGGAAGTTTGGGATCCACCTCCAAAGAACTGGCAAATTGCCTCGTCACTGGCAATCTCCACCTGCCATTTATAGAGGCCAGAGCCCAGCTGTGGGGTAAACAACGAGTGGTATTGAACTGACCGCTAATATATTGTCTGTGAGCTAATATAGCTCAGGGTATATTCACTGCCAAAAGCAAACATTTTCCTTGAGATCCACTTAGATAGCAGTGTTTGTTTATATCATGGTTTATCTGTGTATGAAGAAGTGAGCAGGAGTGGAAAAGCAATTGCAATGACAGAGAGAAAGTCTAACTTATATTAATATTTCTCCAGCCTAATAGCTGTCAAATACGCATTTCTGCACGTCTGGCAGTCTGCTTTAATTTGTTTCTGTCAAATGAAGAGCAAATATTTTATCACAAGTTTTTTGTTGTATTTTTTAAAAAAAAACCAAACCCAAGTACCACAGCAGTGAAGGTTACAGAGGTGGCCATTTTTAGAAAGTTTGCTCTTCGCACACTTAATCAAGACCATCATACTTTACTTGCTTTCCTCCAACTGTCACTAAAGCCATCCACAGCCTTCAAAATCCAAGCGTTATGAAGTGGAAATGCCTGTGCAGGGAAGCTCTCCGCCGCGATTGAGTCTTGATGACAGGCTTAATCCCAAGCTCAGCGGAAGCTCAGTTGCGCTCCTTTTTGTCCCGGAGGTAGTTGAAGAGGACATCCAGCCCGCCCTCGACGACCTCGGGCAGGGGCCGGGACAGGGGGTTGTGGGCGATGTGCAGCCCTTTGTCCATGGGGTTCCAGGCAATGCGGCGCAGCCGGCGCAGCAGGTACAGCTCGTCTGGGAGGGTCTGGATGGCGTTGTAGTCCGCGTTCAGCAGCTCCAGGGTGCTGATGTAGCACAGAGACCGCGGCAGGCTGCGGATGTTGTTGTTTTCCACGATAAAGATTTGCAGGTTGACCAGATATTGGATACTCTCTGCGATATTTTCCAGCTTGTTGGACCCTAGGTGCAAGAAGTCTAAGCTCCTCAGGGCGAAAATGCAGAGGGGAATTTGCACAAAGCGGTTGTTACTGAGGTTCAGTTTCCTCAAACTCGTCAGGTCCGTGAAGCTCAAAGGCAGTTGTGAGATGCAGTTGTGTGAGAGGCTCAGAACCTCCAGCTTCCTGCACAAGCTGAGCTCTGCCGGCACTTCCTTCAGGCAGTTCATATTGACGAACAAGACCTTCAGGTTCCTCAGCAGCCCGATCTCCTTCGGCAGGCACTTGAGGCAGTTGCCCCCCAAGTTCAGCACTACCAGCCTGTCCAGCTTGCCCAGAGAAGGAGGAATCACCACCAGCTGGTTGCGTGAAAGGTTCAGCTTCTGCACCTCATGCAGTCCCCACAAGAAGTCAGGCGTGCTGGTCATCCCTTTCATTATGAGGCTCAAGCTGACATAACGCAATCCCCGCTTCAGCAGCGACTTGGGCTCTCTCCCTGCCAGAAGGGCGTCTTCCCATGCAGGCAGCTTCGGGCCTTTCCTAAGGAAAACCATGCTCCTTCGCTCCTCGTTCTTCGAGTGCTCAGTTCCCATAACACTCTGGTTCACTCCTGAGAGAACTGAGGCTTTATTCCCTTGCAATATGCAAATGCCAACAGAGGAGGACAGCCTGCGGGAGGTGGGAAAGTCAAAGCAAGGAGATAAGGAGGAGCCTGTGAAGTGCATCTCAGTCCATCAGAACAGTTTCCATAGCTGCTGAGGGAAAGTTTCACTTTTGGGGGCTTATGTTGATCTTGGTGCACAGTCTGTAATGAAACACTTGCTCCTGACTTGTGAGCAAACCTGTTCAATTCAAACTGAATGCCACAAGACAGCTGTCACTGTCATTTGGCCTGGGCTTTATTGGACAGATATGTATCTTCACTGCAAAAAGGTCACAAGGATGCTGTATATAACTTCACCATGTCAGCTTTCTTGGCTATCTTGCACATACCATGGCTGCAGGACAATTAGCAAGAGTGATTTCAAAAAAAACAAACAAGCAAGCTAAAGAAGGAAACAAGCAAAGAAGCCATACTTTCAGCTCAGATTTAAAGGATGTTTTCATAATCACTTTTATTTGGGTTCTTGATTTCTCTGGAGTAGTCGGAAAAGTCTACCAGAAAATTCTTCATGCTGCAAAAGCACTGATAAAGACTTTTAATGTCAGTCCTTGTTTTCTGCTAAGTTTAAAAAAATAATGTTCACAAAAAGTTCTAGCTTTTATATGTCCTTTGTGGTGAGGATTGGCTTCTTCCTTTTCAGAAAGGGTCCCAAAATCACTGCAGCAGTGACATTTTGCAGAGTATCTGTGCCCACTTGGATAATTTCTTGCTACCCACGGCATTGAGTGTGAGCAGTCATACCACACAGTTCTAACCAAATTACTCGGTCCTAAATGTCTTGTGCTACTTTCACATCTATGAACCAGATTTTTGGGGTCTGATTCTTTTTTACTCTAGAAAATGGAACATCTTGATGTCCCTTTCCTTGTGAACTTTCATGTCTTCCTGGGCTATTCTGAGTACTAGGGGGACTAGCAGCATAGCTTGAACTATAAATGACATTTAGATCCAATTCCAATATAGAGGGGTTGGTGGAAGAGGAAAGAAGCGGTGATCAGTACAATAATACCAAACAACAGCTGAAGTGAGCTCTGCTGGTGAAAGAAAATTTGATTGCTAGAGGAATATGTATGCAGTGAGTTTAAACCCAAAGGGACCAAAAAAGGGATCTGCAAAAACTTCAGTTATTATCTAAACTAAGTGAAAGCTGCAACAAATAGTACAAGACTTTCAAGGCTTTTCTTCTCCATTGAATCCATGGTGATGAAGATGTGTTGCTGCCTTCTGGGAGATTTGGTGATGAATGTAACCTCCCTTACCATCTAATTTCAGAGATACTCACCTTAAAACCAGATACTAAAAGATTATGCAGAAAACTCCAGCTGGAAGTCAAAGCACTCCAGCAACCCCTTTGGAGTAAATCCCCACAGCCCCTTCTTACAGCCAAGCACCACTCAGTCTCCTTTGAGCTTTGGGTCCCTGTTAGAGCTGCATCTGCTTGGGAAGAGAGGCAGAGAGGGAATTCCTGAAGTTGTGTCTGACGAGTGGGGGGTCCTGCACCAGTCAGGACCACAGAGAGCAGTGAGAGATGATGGAGAGCTGAGTGAGCCATGCAATTAAAATGTGTGTTTGAGCAGGGCTGCGTGGCATAAAACCAGCTGGTGCTGAGACTGAAATATTGCATTTTCTGGAGTGCCTGGGGGAGCCTGAAAAAGGCTGAAGCCAGTTGCATTTGGTTAGAGTGAGTTGGCAGCCTGTGAGTCACAGATCCCTCCCTCACAAGCACTTTTTGCCAGTATTTGTCAGTTTACAAACAAATGTTATACTAATTGCCATTGCAGCATACAGACTCGGTGTTCTTGTTAACCATCATCCCCACATGCTGCCCAGAGTGGCGGAGACAACCGTGATGCCACAGGCAGAGGACATGCTCAGGGGGAAAAGGAAGCCCAGTGGCTTGGGCAAGACCTTGCATGATGGGGCCCTAAAATGTGGCTTTTCATCCCAAATGGGTGGAGAAATGAAAACATGAGCCCCTCACGAGCTCTGCCTTTGGGATGTCTGCCCAGCTGATGTTAAAATGCAGTTATTATCAGAGAGCATCCATGGATCTGAACATGGGCATTTTGCTTCTGCAGTGGCAAACACAAAGGGAAGAAAAAGTCTTTTTAGAGACAATTTGTAAAATTAGGCATTTCCCTTCTTTTAGTCTCACTTCTGAAATGAGGAATCTGCTGCAGAGAATCTGCCAGGATCTGCCAGAGACTAGCTTTGCTTCCTGTAGCTGGGCTCCCACCTGTAACCATGGCCCCACGGTCACTTCAGAGCTCGTTCTTCTGCAGGTCACTTTTAGTAACAAATGAAAACAAAACAAAAGGAAGCACAGTCTCGCTGTAGCCACTGCCTTCCCCCATGGCTGGCTAGATATTTTTGGATGAGAACATTGTCCCCATCTCCAAAACACACTGGAGTTCACCGCCTGGAGACTTGGCAGTGCCTGCTGTGGCTTCTCACCACAGAAATCCTGGTTTCCTAGCAGCATGACTCAGCCAAAGTGCTCTGTATCTTTCCCTGGCTTTGCATCACACTGTCCATTTGAAACCAGGCCTGTGATACAGCCCAGCAGAGTCTGGGCTGGGCTGTTGCTGGAAAGCTTCACCAGGGGATCTCTATCAAAGAAAAATGCTTGCTCTGCTTCAGCCTCACAGCATCTCCTGCTGTATCTCCACTGCCTGCCAGACATCAAGCTGCAGCAAAGGGAATTTAAAAAAGAAATTCCACATCTGCAGCTGTCATTGTCCAGTTCCCTTCCTGTCTCTGTATCATAACCAGTGTGTGAAAAGAAAAAAGAAAACAAAAAACCAAAAAAGACAAACTATTTCCTATTCTTTGTTCTCCAACAGAAAAACAGGCTATTGAGTATGCTTGCAGTTGCGGAGATGGAAAACTCTGAGGTAACCAAATTAAATTTTTCTTGAAATGGGGATAATAAAGCCACAGTGGCCTCATCTGGACATCTCAGGAACTAAAATTCTGTACAAAAATAGTCCCTTGTTTCTTGGTGTCCCGGACTGGCTTTGTTCAAACACTTTTCAGTTCCCTTTTTTCTGTGTTGCCTGCTGCCCTTGCTGTGCTGGGCTGTGAGGATGGATCCATTCCTTTGGAATGCTCTTAGGCAGCACTGGCCTGTGTCCACACAGCCTGGCAGAGAGCAGAAATGAATTTAATACATGCAGGTTTGAAGCCCAAATTGGTGGGCTTTACATGACACAGTGTACTTGATAATCACTTTGAAGATTAAATAAAAATGTTAATGTGCAAGGAAAAAAAATAACCCAAAGCTTGTTAAAGAATTTTGTAGTCTAACTAATATAATAAAAGAAACTGCATTATTAGCAATGATAAAAACTGGTAAGCTGACAAAAATGACAAGCTATATTTTCTGACATTCTTTGACAATGCAAATTATTAGATTTTTTTTCTTAAGGAATCAGGATTGTCAGCCCTAAAAAAATCTGAAGATGAGTTCACAAAAGACCTCAAATTTTAAAGTCTATTATCTATGGGATCTTTTATTTGTCTTCAGGTTTTGAGTCTGTAGAATGCACTTGAGACACATTTTCTAGGTTTTTTTTCTGCATCCAGGCAGGACTTGCCATAAAACAAATTGTATTGGCTTTAGGTAAAAGCTGAGATCATAACATAATTATTTTTCCATTGGATTTGAGGTTTTAATAAAATATCTGATAGCATCAGGCTTTTAATGAAACTATAGCTATTTTGACACATTGGGCTTAAAATTTGTTTTGCTGCAAAACTGATCCTGTCATTGTCTTTTAAATTGCTGAGCTTACAATAGATGCCTATAATTTCATTATCATATATGTATAGATTCATAATTTATTTTGAATCAGGTTTTATGCTCTCTATAGGATCAAAACCGTATACAGTTAATTTTTCTCAATATTTTTATAAATGTATTAACATATGAAGAAATCCTTTAAATCTTCAAGCATAACCACTTCTAAAATGCTGGGAAATTCAATGCACACTCTTTTGGAAGAAACTTTCATTACATTCATTATCTAGATCTTATAATAAACACCTGTTTAAATGAGGATGCAGAAACTACCTAAAACTTTCTGTGACAGGAAGGATGATTTGGCTAAAAAGGGTTAACTTGTTTCAAGTTTAGCAGAAAACAACCCGTGCTGGGGAAATATTCATTACAAATACAGCTGCAGCTACTGAACCATCTCCTCTTCTGCTATTTCTTTCCTCTGAAGTAAGTAAAGGATTTTAAAAGCATCAGTGCTATTCAGACAGCCAGGGAAATCCTCTGGTCTTAATGCTAAGGAAGCAAATTTTGTAGGTTTTTAACTGCTTTGTAGTGGCTTGTTGATCTTGCAGCTATTCTGAAATACTAAGTCAAATTTTAATGGTAATTTGAGATTTATGAGATGTGACACAAGACAGAAACAATTCTTAAGGCAATTTTAGATTTGCTGCTAATTTGTTTTTAATTATGGTGCTGTTAACAGCTTTTAATGACTGCCTGTCCCTGGAGCTTTCTCGGAATGTTTCATTAAGGTCCCATGTGGAGCTGCTGGATTGCCTGACCCATGAAGAATTGGACCTGGAGGTGAATGACTGCCTGTGCAGGGGCTCATTTTTCTGCAGACCTCTTGACAGAAGACAAGCTTGAACTAAACCTAGTAGGAAATAAAAAGAGAGATTTGGGGCCTAGAAATGACAGGCTCTTCTTCCTGGTAGTCAGAGACAGCGGGAATTCTTATATGACTTGGAATTAGAGGAAGTTTTATTCCTTTTTTGCAAACTTGCCACAGTATTTTGAAATTCCAGCAATACATGAATGACTGTTTTGGCACCTCCAACTTCTTCCACAATTTCCCTCCACGTACACAAGCCAAACAGCTGGTCTGTCATATATTAAACAGAGGCAACCCATGATCCAGCACTGTGCTGTCATCCATGTTCCCTCGGGTACTCTTTCATCTGCTGCCCATAGCAGTTCTCCCTGGCACCACCAAAACTTGCTTTCCGTAAGGTGCTTGCCCACTCCTCTGCAGGAAAAAGGGTGTGTAGCACATAGATATGCCC